GCTGGGGGGGCTGCCCAGCTCTGGGAGGGCAGGGGGGGTGGGGGGGCGAGAGCAGGGGATGCCCGGGTCCCAGGCACGGGGGTGTTACCGAGGCAGGAGCGGGCGTTGGGCGCGGGGGCGAAGCCGTCCTGGCAGGTGCAACGGAAGGAGCCGGGCAGGTTCTCGCACCAGCCGTGTTTGCACGGGGACTCCTCGCACTCGTCCATGTCTGCAGGAGACAGCGGGAGGTAGGGCTGGGGGCCCGGGCCCCTGGGGCCCCTCCAGCCCTGGGAGGGGAGGGGAGGGGAGGGGAGCCCGGGGGCCCGGACGCCTGGGGTCTTGGTGGGTACCTTTGCAGAGAGGCTGGCGCGAGGACTTGACACGGTAACCAGGGCGACAGTCACACTTGTAGTGCCCGGGGTAGTTGGTGCACGTGCCACCGTCCCCGCACACATGGGGCTTTGCACACTCGTCGATGTCTGGGGGAGGGAGGGGGAGATGGGTGTGAGCAGGGAAGGACGGGAGCCCTGACACCTGGGGTCTCGCCAGCTCGGCGGTAGGGCGGGGCTGAGACCCCTTGCACGAGGACTCACCGACACATGAGCGCACGCCCTTGTGCACCTTGAGCTGGTAGCCGCGGTTGCAGTGGCAGTTGTAGGAGCCACCCGTGTTCATGCACACGCCTTTGCCCAGCCCGCACGGCTCCGCCTCACACTCATTCACATCTGTGCATGGGGGGTGGGGGGAGAGATGCTGAGTGACCCCCCCACAAGCCCCCGGACCTCCCCGTGGCCCTGGGGAGTGTTCATGTGTGTTGCACGTGTCACATGCCTCCAAGGGGAGGTGACGTGTCGTATGTGCCTCACACGTGTTGCACACCTCCGAGATAGGGACGTGATGCATTTTACAGGTGTTGCATGTCTGCTATGGGGAGGTGACGTGTTGCACGTGTGTTGCACAAATGTCACATCTCCTATAGAAATGTGACGTCACACATGTATCATATGCCTCTTATGGGGAGGTGATGTGTTGCACATTGCACACCTCCTATATGGATGTGACATGCCACGTGTTCCATACTTATGAGGGAGGAAATGTGTTGCATGTGTGTTGCACACCTCCTATAGGGAGATGATATCACGTGTGTCCTGTACCTCCTATGGGGTCAGTGAGATGTTGTACATGGGCTGCACGTGTGTTGCACTCCTACAGGGACATGATATGTAAAATGTGTCATCTATGTTCTGTGCCTCCCATAGGAGGTGACGTGTTGCACACGCACATGTGTCACATGCATATGAGAAGGTGATGGGTCACATGCATGTCACATGCCTACTACATGGAAGCAACATGGGAAGGTAAAGTGTTGCACGTGTTGCACGTGTTGCACACCTCCTCCAGGGAGATGATATCTCACACGTGTCACACACATATACACCTACGGGGCCATGACTGGTCACATGCACATCGCACGCCTCCTATAGAGACATGTGGGCAAATCACCCATGCGTAACGCACAACCAACCCCTGCAGCTGGACACGTGTGTCACACCCTCTAGGAGGGAGCATGTGCCCTCCTGGGTACCACAGGTACGCACCATGACACATGCACGTTGCACATTTATGTGCACACCCCCCTATCCTACCATGTCACATGAACAGATCCTACCCCCACACCCTGGCCTCCTCCCCAGCCTGCAGAGGGGTGGCACAGCAGGCCTGGCCCCCGTGCGAGGCCCAGCTCTCATGCAAGGCAGCCTACCAGTGCAGAAACGACGCTGCGGGTGCCAGCGGTAGCCCGAGTAGCAGAGGCAGGTGTAGCCGGCAGCGCCCATGATGCACTCCCCGTGCCCACAGATGTTGCGGTTCAGCTTGCACTCATCTGTCTCTGCACGCACGGGCAGACATGGGCACAGACACAAAGAGATGTGAACATGGGCATGGGCATGGGCACAGATACAGACACACACACACGAGCACAGACGCAGACACAGGCGTGAGCGTGGGCCCAGATACGTACATAGGCATGGGCACAGGCATGGGGAGGGGGGGCACAGGGTTTAGCAGCAGCCCCCCCAGCCCTGGGATGCCCCCACACACACCCAGGAAGGCAAGGGGGGGCTGAATTAGGGGGTCCCGTGGGTGCGAGCGGGGGGGCTGGCAGCCCAGATGCCCGGGTTCTCGGGGCGGGACTCACCGGTGACCTGGGTGGGGGCGATCTCCACGGCG